TACACACACACACACACACGTATATATAAACTATATAAAAAGGACTTACTAAACCTCACACATCTTATTTCTTTCTTCATGCATGTGAGATCTTTTACACATAGTTTACTTACGGAGCTTGTGTTCGAGTGGTGTATTCCTTAAACTCATTGTCATGAATGGTAAAATACGGCCGGAAATCACTGCAGTAGCGCAGAGGAGAGATACAACTGCACAGAGACAGAGACAGATCAGTTTGCTTCATTAGAAAGTGATCTAGAAGTCAGCACCTGCTCTTTTATTGGTAAAGAATATTCTGCTCACGTTAAACACGTGTGTGGTGCGTAACAGTGTCTCTGGAGTCTCTATATCACACACATCATCTGACTTCAGAATTATCTAGCTGCCCTTCTTCAAGGTCGACCACAGCGTGTGACTCTGGAAACATTCAGCTTCCAGAAACTCAGCATTACAGAGCCAGAAAACACGATCTGTCTGCTGTCAAGTACTGCATTACACCCCATGCACTTGGATGCTCACTGAATTTGGACTTTTGGAATTTTGGAATTTCTTTGGAATGGATTTAAATACAATAAAATTGTGGTAAAATGAGTACTATACGTCTATTATTAGCCGACAGCATTATCAACTTATTCAAAATATTTAATAAACACACTACTGAACGACGGGTGTTTGAATTCTGTGCACGTCTAGAGTTCACAGAATTTGCAATTCTAAAAACATTTCATGTGCAACCAGAGAGAAACATGATGATGATTTAGAAGAAACAAGTTTCATCCTGCATTTTTAACGCAGAGTGAAGTCCTCAACAACTGTAGGCAAACATTTAGTGTGATATCAAATACTGGACAGCTGCAGCAGGCATATAGATGTGATCGTTTCAGATCTTAAGGAAATCTCATAAAATGCAGATTCAGCTCTAAAATCTGATTGGATGGATTGTAAAACAGCACATAAATTAAATTCTATACCATAAACAACCTACAATGAACATGCATCTTACTAAAAATAATCACAATTCACTTATCCCCAGTGTTATTTTAGTATCACTGATATACTACTTTAATTTTGTTTTCCTTTTCATTTGAAAGATTTAGTACTTTTGTGTTTGTCATTTTCATTTTATTTAATTTTAAGAAGAGACCACATATTACAGTGATTTTTTACCATGGTTAAAAGGTCTTTACACCTCTTAGCAGTGGTAAAATCACTGTAACACCTCACATGGCTTATTATTTTATTATTATTATTATTATTATTATTTGCTGTACCTGACCAATGCCAAAATAGTGTCTGAAGATTCTGCCGGTGACGGTGCCATGACCACCAACGCTTCACCGAGCAACATAAGCTCCCATAACATCTGAATATGAAAAAACACTGGATGGAAACACCTACAACACAAGAAACAATGAGAATATTATGACAAATTACAGAACAGATCATTAACTGGATGCTGAAATTAACAGGTTTTGTTTTTTTACCATATAATGTGAGATTTGGAGCCAATTTGGAGTCTTAGTAAACATATTTATGACCAACACACTAAAGTTCAAAAGTCTGAGAATGAAATGAAAACTTTTATGCATTAAATTGATCAGAAGTGACAGTGAAGATATTTATAACGTTACACAATTTTTCTATTTCAAATAAATGCTGCTTTGAAATTTCCGTTCATCTGTGAATCCGGAAAAACAAAATGTGTCAGTTTCCACAAAAATATGAAGCAGCACAGCTCTTTTCAACACTGATAATAATCAGAAATGTTTCTTGAGCAGCAAATCAGTATAATAGAATGATTTCTGAAGATCATGTGACACTGAAGACTGGAGTAATGATGCTGAAAATACAGCTTTGATCACAGCAGTAAATTACATTTTACAGTAAATTCGCATAGAAAATACTTATATTAAATCATAACATTTTCACACAATATTAAAGTTTTACTGTATTTTTGATTAAATAAATGCAGCCTTGGTGAGCAGAAGAGACTTCTAGTGCATGTGAACAACTTGCACTTTTCTCTGCTACCAACAGGAGGCCCCAGAGGACAAGAAATAAACAAATCCAGCCCAACTATGAAATATAGTACAATATGTACCAGTCACACTAGCACACAATAAACATGCTTAACCTGAAGAGATCCACTTCATGTACGGTGGGCAGAATGATGGACACCAGACTGTCGCTCTGTCAATGAAAGATTAGACTCATTACATGAGAGCAAACTGATGTAACCCCTCTGAATATGACACATCAGCAGCATGCAGTGACGGTGCGGTTCATACCGGTGCAGACTGGACGAGCTGAGATGTTCCAGGCTTGTCGTAACAAGTGGGGATGCGCAGCTGAGGAGAGCAGATGGCAGCGGCCATTAATAAAGTGCAATGGATATTCAAACACTTAGCTGATATCTTACAAAGAATGGTGGGGGGGGAGACGAGTTACCTTCATGACCACACCCATGATGGGGAGTGTGAGGATCTTCCCCGGACACGGCGATGGCCAGCGGTCAATGTCATTACACGCTTCAACGCAAACACAAAAAATATTAATCAATACAAAGTTCAGCAAAAAACAAGATTTAAAATTGAGGAATGTTGCCATGCAGTTGCTAAGATGTTCTGAGTCATTGTTGCATGTTGCTACATAGTTGCTAAGGTATTACGCAGTTGCTAAGGTGTTCTGAGTCATTGTTGCATGTTGCTAAGCAGTTGCTAAGGTGTTATGCAATTGCTAAGCTGTCCTGAGTCATTATTGTATGACGCTGCAGAGTTGCTAAGGTATTACACAGTTACTAAGGTGTTGTGAGTCGTTGTTGCATGTGACTACGCAGTTGCTAAGGTATTACGCAGTTGCTAAGGTATTACACAGTTGCTAAGGAATTACACAGTTGCTAAGGTATTACACACTTGCTAATATGTTCTGAGTCATTGCATGTGGCTATGCAGTTACTAAGGTATTACGCAGTTGCTAAAGTGTTCTGAGTCGTTGCATGTTGCTAAGCAGTTGCTAAGGTGTTCTGAGTCATTATTGCATGTTGCTACGCAGTTACTAAGGTGTTCTGAGTCGTTGCATGTTGCTACGCAGTTGCTAAGGTGTTGAGTTGTTGTTGCATGTTGCTGCATAGTTGCTAAGGTGTTACGCAGTTGCTAAGGTGTTCTGAGTCATTGTTGCATGTTGCTACGCAGTTGCTAAGATATTCTGAGTCATTGTTGCACATGCTATGCAGTTACTAAAGTGTTCTGAATCATTGCATGTGGCTACGCAGTTGCTAAGGTATTACGCAGTTGCTAAAGTTTTCTGAGTCGTTGCATGTTGCTAAGGTGTTCTGAGTCATTATTGCATGTTGCTACGCAGTTGCTAAGGTGTTCTGAGTCATTGCATGCTGCTACACAGTCACTAAGGTGTTACACAGTTGTTGTTGCATGTTGCTACGCAGTTGCTAAGGTGTTGCGTTGTTGTTGCATGTTGCTGCATAGTTGCTAAGGTGTTACGCAGTTGCTAAGGTGTTCTGAGCCATTGTTGCATGTTGCTACGCAGTTACTAAAGTGTTCTGAATCATTGTTGTTGTGCAGTTACTAAGAGGTTCTGAGGTGTTGTTGCTATGTGGTTCTGAGTTGTTGTTGCATGTTGCTATGCAGTTGCTAAGGTATTCTGAGCTTGTTACATGTTGCTATGCAGTTGCCAAGGCGTTCTGAGTCACTGCATGTTGCTGCGTGGTTGCCAAGGTGTTCTGAGTCAGTGTTGCTATGGAGTTTCTAAGGGGTTCTGACTCAATGTCGCATGATTCTACGCCACTGCTAAAGTGTTATGAACTCATTGTTGCATGTGGCTATGCAGTTTCCAAGGTGTTTTTTTGTGTGTTGCAATGCGGTTACTAGGTGCATAATATTATGGTGCCAAGATATGGTGAGTGTTGCTATGTGGTTGCCATGGTTTTCCAATTAGAAAAGGTGCAAGATGAGTTCCGCAAGTTTACTACACATGATGGTCTGTTTTACAGTCTGTCCATGTTTTCAGGACTCACCGGCCTCTAAACACGGCTCCTGTTTCTCAAAGTATTCTGGGGCGATGAGCTTCAGCAAAGAGTGGAAAAAGGTCACGTAGGGCAGCTTGCTGATGAGGACCAGAGACTGCAGGAGCGAGAAACACACATGTATACACGATGAGAGAAATGTCATGAAGTTCAAAAATCCTCTCGAGATACAGGCCAAAACAACAGACAAGATCTTAAAGGAATAATTTGGCTATGACTTTGTTCTTCCATAGCACAGAAAAGAAGATACTATGCAGTACATTCACACTGGCATACATTCAAATATGGTGCATTAAGAGCCTATAGAACACATTAATGGTTTTGGCAGCTCCAAAAAGTTTAAATATGTGTTTTTGTTGAGTATCATATTTGATACATCAGGTTTTTAAGGCTCATACAGTATGATATAGTAAGAATATGGAGGAAAAACAGCTCAAGATTATGCAAACTGTGCAAAAATATGGGGAAGTTGCTGAAACTTATAACACCAAAAAGATGAAATTCTGATGTTTGCAATGTAAATCAGTGAGATCTTCACAACAGTATAGCAGATACTTACATAGAAATGCACATAAATATCAGTAACTCTAATAATAACTATATCTCTAATAAATAGATCTCTAATAATGACTTAATAAGAAGATATTTAAATGCTTAGTTTGATGATCAAAACATAATGCAATGCAATACAATGATTGTGTGCAACAGGTTTTTCAGAAAAGTTTTGATTATGTTGATCATTAGAATTTTGTGCATCGAATATGCGTAGGTTTTATATGGTTAACGATCAAATTTAAATTTTTTATACTTGCTCAAATGCATCTGAAATCAGTAGGGAGTGGTAAGGAAACTAGAGTAACCAACATGGTTCCGTTAGTAAAGAAAACAAACCGGGTTGTGTCCGTTCATGTCACAAACCACAACGTTTTATTGAAGCGCAGTGAATCACCTCAGGAATTGCATAAGAAGCTGCAGGGCAGCAAAAGCCCCATAAAGCTCCTGTGTCAAAGTGTTAAGGTGTCGAAATACTCTCCGTCTTCAAAAACAACAAGAATTAAAGGCTCTTGAAAAGTTCCAGATCTCCCCTCTAATCTCCGCCTCTATTTTTAGGGTGTGAACAACGGTCGCTGGTGACTGATGCAGTGTTGGGACTTGTTCAGTGCTGCACTTGATCTTAGCTGGGGGCGAATTTCAGTTTTAATGTAAGGACTTGAGAACCAAAACCATTTAAAGCTCCGTATTGACTAAAAACACCACTCAATTGTGCTCAAATCACTACAACAAACCACTCGACCAATAAGAGTAAAGGACAGGAACATAATGGCCACATTTACACTGTGAAGTTTCAGGAGTGATATCTGCTTTTAAACACAGCAGTGAATCCTCTAAATTAGTGTTTTGTACGGTGGCCGTGAAGTGCAAAACAAATCACAGTTCTGAAAACAAAATAACAAATTACAAAGGCAAATGCAAGTCTAAAAAACAAAATAACAATTTAGAAAGCACAACAACAATTCAGAAAACATTATAATAAGTCAGAAAACACAA